GACGACGACGCGGGCGTCTCGACCTCGACGGCGACACTCGCTGACGAGGGCGACGGCGGCGGGCCCCCCCGCCCCGGAGGCTCCTCGGCGCTCCTCCCACTCGAAGGTTGCGAGGTCTTCGAACTCATTCGTCGGTCCTCGGCGTTTCCCTATTTCCCTGGCCTCGCCCCCCCTCCCCCACCCCACCCTCCTCGAGGTTCGAGTTTTCTGGATGCCCCCGTGATCGGCCCGCTCGGCCACCGGATGCCCGAGTTGTGGCCCGAAATGCAGTTCTCCCTTCTCCTGCCCTCCCCCGTCCCTTGCCTCGCCCCTGCTCCCCCCCTCCCTTTGCCCCTCTTCCCTCCCTCGCGCGAGCGTGTGGTCCCACGTGCACCGGCCTCTCCCGCCATCCGGGAGGAACGATACGGGTGGTTTTAACGTTCGAGGGCTGCCGCCAGGAAGCTGGACCTGCAGTCGCTGACGTTCCTTCGCGACGGGTGCGCGTCCCTCTTGGATCCCCCGTCGGCCTTTCCTCCACCCGCATGGATTGGTCGGAGCGGCTGCCACCAGTGCATGTTTCTGAAGACAGGGAGGAGTGATGAACATTGTTCGAGCAAGTTGGGATGTCCATCCGAATGATTTGCAACCTGGCTGGGATCTACATCAGAGTGGAGAGCAGCACATTGTTGCTTCCGGGAAGAGCTCCGCGCCAGGCACAGGACTTGATTGGGCCACAGTTCGCATGGGGTCGGCCAGATTCTTATATGGACAGTTCGTGTCGCGGTCGGCTCAGACTCCTTCAGCATGGGAGCGGTACACTACGTGTGATAACATATGGGTCCCGATCAATGGCTTCCTGCCGAAGCCAGATGGGGACACTAGGCCCATCGGCCTCCTCTGCTTCAGGGCCAGAATATACGGCTGCTGCCGCAGATCCTACGTCAAGGCGTGGGAGGCGTCGGTGGACGAGGCACATTTTATGGGGACAGGATGCGGCTACCAGTTGACACACATCAGCTCATCTAAACGACATGTCACCATGTCACGCACGTCGGCGTGGCCTCACGGCAGCGACAGTATTTGATAGCACCCGCATGTTCCGCACGGTCTACGAGAACGTCAGCCGTCAGGATATGTAGCAACTTACTTCTCATGTTCTGTTCAACGAGGCCTTTCTTGACAACACCCTGTTGTCTGTACAGAGCGCCGCGGTGGGCCAGGTGGACAGGAGGTACGAGCCCCGTGATCCGCCCAAACGGCACCATCGTTGCTGGGCGCAGCGCGGCCACTGGAGTCGCGAAGCTGATGACGCTGACCCTTCTGAAGAGAATCGCAGCAGAGACTTCACCGTGCCGTTCGTTGACCGTGGTGGACGACCTGACAACGCACGCGGTTGGAGGGCCGAAAACGGTGGAGAACACGATCGGCAGCTTCGAGACTGTCACCTCAGAGTTGCAGAGTCCGAGGTTGCGAATCATTTGGGCCAAGACTTATTTCATGCTGCTCGGCCACCAGTTGCTGCGGCAGTCTGTGCAGTCGACAGATTCTAGAATCGGACAAGCTGGTCGAGATCTGGGCGGAGGTTCCCAAGGTGGTCGAGCGCGTCGAGCTGGCGACAAGCAGGCGCGAACCGCTGGGGCCCGACAGGCGGGCAACGCTTTGCCCCAGCTCGGCCAGAGTTAGAGTGCATTTCTTTCTTGCTTGGGGCATGACCGGCGTCATGGCCCCCGCCCCCCGCTCCCCTCCCCCCCTAAGAAGTAACGCTCCTCCCCAGTGCGCTCTGGGTACTGCCGCCGTGCGCATCGACATCCGCATAGGTGTCCGCATCGGAGTCTGGTCCGCAGTCGTCGTCGTCATCGTCGTCGTCGTCGTCGTCGTCGGCGCTAGTCGCTCGTCGCTCGTCGCTCGTTGCTCATCATCGTCGTGCGCGCGGACGCGGTTGGAGCCTGTTTTTTTTATTCCGTGCCGATGGCTGCAATGATTTGGGGAGGGTGGAGGGTGCCGATGACGTCACGTTTCGCGCCAGCGGCGTCTGGGAAGCAGCATGTAGGTGGCGATCTGCACCACAGCGCACGTGTACACCACAGCGCCTGCGTGCACCACGGCGCCTGTGTACACCACACCGCCGATGTACACAGCAGCCGCGTGCAGCACAGCGCCAGTGTGTGCCACAGTGCCTGCCAGCACCACAGCGCTTGTGTACACCACAGCGCCTGCGTACACCACATCAGCCGTGTGCAGCACAGCACTGGTGGACGCCACAATGCCTGCGCGCATTACAGCGCCTGTGTACACCACGGCGCCGGTGTGCACCACAGCAACCGTGTGCAGCAGAGCACCATATCTGCGTATAGAATTTTAGAAGGAATCCTTATCAACAAATGCAGCGCCTGTGCATTCCAGAGAGAACAATTGTTCAGTCTAGGATTTGGAAAGGAATGCTTATGGAAAAGGGATCGCCTCTGGAATCGACGAGCCATCCCGAGTCTGCCCGCATCATCCTAATTCCTCCCATATGCCTCCATGGGGGTCCTGCAAAATTGGCCGTCCGAGAACCAACTGGAGTGATTCAATAAACCATTTGTGGTGCACGCAGAGTTGCGCACGTGCGCTGTAGCGCCGACCCGCACGAAGAGGGGGAAGGGTGAGGGAGGAGGAGGAGGAGGAGGAAGAGGATGAGGAGGTGGAGGTGGACGAAGAGGGAGAGGGGAAGAACGTCGCATTATTTTATCAGCACTTCCCTGGCGTGGCGTTTGGTTGTCCGCAGCAGATCCTCACCTGCATGCTCCTTCTATTCGTCCTGTGCACAAGCGCCGTGGTGTACACCAGCGCTGCGTTGCACACGGATGCTGTGTAGACAGGCGCCGTGGTGTACACGGGCGCTGCGGTGCACGCAAGCATTGTGGTGTACACGCGCGCTGTGTTGCACATGGTTGCTGCGGTGTACACATTCGCTGTGTTGTACACCTGCGCTGTGGTGCACGCGAGCATTGTGTTGTACACAGGTGCTGCGTTACACGCGGCTGTTGCGGGGTACGCGGGCGTTGTGGTGAACACGCGGTGTGGTGCACGCGAGCATGGTGGTGTACGCAGTCGCTGTGGGGCAGATCGCCAGCTACATGCTGCTCGCGTCGTCGTCGTCGTCGTCGTCGTCGCTCGTCGCTCGTCGCTCGTCGCTTATCGTCGTCGTGCGCGCGGGCGCGGCTGTGGTGCGAGAGTCACACGGCGGGGGGGGGCGTTACGTCATACCCTTCCCTTCGCCCCCCCCCCCCTCCCATGACGCCCGTCATCGCCGAAAATACGGAAACGCGCTCCGAGAAGCATAGCTGAGTGCATCGTGTCGGGGCGCTGGCTCATAGCCTCGGTCCAAGCGGCGAGATCCTGGGGGCCACGTGGCGGGAGCAGCTCTCGGCGTCAGATTCATCTTCCCTCCTAGCCCGCACCCCTTGTGGCTATGGTTTCGGCCGGCAGAGGAGGGTGTCTGGTGGGCCCGCCCGGTCCCTTGCCCTCTTCTCCCTTCTCTCCTCCGCATCTTCTCACTTCACCTCGCTGCGGGATGGGGGGCGGATGAGGAAGAGGAGGAAGAGGAGGTTGAGGAAATCCGGGAATGTGGGGAGAGGCATAGGAGTTGATTGGCACACGCGCAGTGCATCAGCGACGGATGGAATTGCAGGGTTCCAAAACCAGCAACGACAAATTTACATGGACCCCATGAAAGGTTTACGGGACCCCGTGCAGCCAGTCAGCGCGCGCACTCCGTCGATCAGCGCCCTGTCTTCTCAACTCTCTGCCACAAACGTCGCGCACTCAGTTCTACCCTCGCCGGAGCTGCATGCTGGCAGCCATGTAGATTAGTCTCGCATTGCCGAAAAGGGCCAGAATTCGTTTCGGAAGACGGCTTGTGGGGTTGAAGCCGCCCGCTTTGGCCCTTGATGTCTTCCTCATCCGCCTCACCTTCTCCGGTTCCCTCCTCATTTACCTCCGCCCTTTCCTCCTTCACCCGTCCTCCTTCCCCATCTGTCTCCGTTCCCTTCCACCTGGGAGGAGGCGGGCGCGGGGTGCGGGCTGGCGGGCCAAGGTGTGCGTGTGTGTGGGTGTGCGGGTGTGTGGGTGTGTGGGTGTGTGGGTGTGTGGGTGTGTGGGTGTGTGGGTGTGTGGGTGTGTGGGTGTGTGGGTGTGTGGGTGTGTGTGTGTATGTGTGTGTGTGTGTGTGTGTGTGTGTGTGTGTGTGTGTGTGTGTGTGTGTGTGTGTGTGTGTGTGTGTGGGGGTGGGGGGGGGGGGGGGGGGAAGAGGAAGGGTGGGAGGAACATGGGGGGGGTGGAAGCGGAGGGTGAGGAAAACAAGGAGAGGAGATGGGTACTACCCATCTCCTCTCCTTGTTCTCCTCCCCCTAGCACTCATTATGTATTATTTTTTCTCCCCTTGTTCTCCCTGCTCTCCTTGCTCTCCTCCTCTCCCTAGCACTCAGTCTGAATTCCTTGGAAGGAATACAGAACGAGTGCTGGACAAGGGGGCGGGGGGAGGAAGGGGGGCGCGAGGGGGGAGAGGTCGGGGCGGGGAGGAGGAGGGGGGGCGGGGGAAGACGGCCACGAGGACGCGATGAGCATGCGCCCTCGGAGAGATGCGCGCGCCCGCCCGGGCCCCTGCCGCGGGGCGGCGCCCCGCCCCCCCCCCCCCCCCTGACGAACCGACAACACACACACCCATACCCAGAGGGGGGTCGGAGAGGGCCGTGGGTGCGTGTTGTCGGATGGGGGTCCCCGCTCGAACGGGAGCGTTCCCCAGGGTCCGACGACCCGCACCCGTACCCATAGCCAGCCCTCCTCTCAACGACCCCCCTATGGGTATGGGTGTGTGTGTTGCTCGTTCGTCGCCCCCCGAGGAGGAGGAGGAGGAGGAGGAGGAGGAGGAGGAGGAGGAGGAGGAGGAGGAGGAGGAGGAGGAGGAGGAGGAGGGGGAGGGGGAGAAGGAGGAGGAGGAGGAGGAGGAGGACGGGGAGGAGGAGGCGGAGGAGGAGGAGGAGGGCTATGGGTATGGGTGTGTGTTGCTCGTTCGTCACCCCCCCGAGGTCTGGCACGCCGACTGCATCCGCCGGTGGCTGCGGCAGGGGCAGGCCCAGACGTGCCCGCTGTGCCGCGCGCCGGTGGGCCCGGACCGTCGGGGGCGGGGGGGCGATCGGGAGCCTCGAGACGGAGCTGCCGCCTTGGATTCTCGGGGGCGGAAAAGAGGGGGGTGAGGACTAGTGGGGGGGGGATATCATGGCGTGGGCCATGATGTTTCCCCGGATTTCATGGCGCCTCTTCTTAATCATTACGGGCCATGATATTTCCCCGGATTTCATGGCTTTTTATTTTCCCGGAAGCTTCGGGAGCCTCGAGACGGGGGTCAACGCAAACGGGGTTCAGCCAGGGCGCCGCATCCTGCAGGATCCTGCGGAGACCCCCTCTGGCTGGCCCGGGTCAGCGAGCCGCTCGTGGCCGCGAGGCGGCCGCGCTCACTGGTTGGCCCGGGTTTGCGAAGACCTGCGCTGCAGTTTTGTTTCCTTGCATTGCAGTTGTTTGGTTTCCTGCTGACCCGGGTCTGGATTGACCCGGGTCAGAAGATCCCCGGAAGCTGCCGCCTTGGATTCAGTCGGGCCTGTCCCTCTACAGGGGGGATCTTGGAAAACAGTCCCAACAAAACATAGTCTGGGGGACTATTTTTGGAGTATCTTGTGTGACCACTGTGGAACGTTTTGGGGGTCTGTCTTCTTTTTTGTCGAGAGTCCCCCTTTAAGGGGGACGCGTCCGACCTAAGCCTTGGAGGCGGCTGCAGGTCCGAGGTTGCCCAGCACCTGGTCTCCTTCGAGGTTCTGGGCTCTCGGCGTTTTTTACCATCCAGAGAATCGGGGGTGGACAGAGCCCCCAACAGTGACGCGTCGATTCGTGAATTGTCCGTTTTCGTTTCTCGAGATGGCGCCGTGGCCGTTATTGTCCAGGCTTGCGCCCGCCATGTTTGGGCCTCAGGTCGTTTTCACTAAACCACGTTTTACTAAAGGGGGGTCTGTCCATCCCCGAGAGAAGCCCAGCGGCGAAGGGTCAGGGGGAAAAGGCAGACGAGGAGACGACACGACGCAGGGCGCGAGGGGGGAACTTGGCATCGCTCGGACGTGTGCGTTTTTTCCTCGGCGAGGACCATCGAGGAGCATCCTTGATCATTTGGCGAAAAGACCACGCACGAAACCGAAAAAGACACAGGGAATGGACGTCCGAGCGATGGCCAGGGAAGGGAGGGGGGGGGAAGGAGGGAGGAGCCTGTTTTTGTTGGGGCTCCGGGCAAGTTTACTTGCATGGACGGGGGGGGGGCTGAGTCTGAAGCAAGCCGAAAACAATTCGACGTGCAGAAATCACGCAAGTCGAAAGGCACTTGCACGCTCGTATTCGATAGAAGCGGGGCGAGGGGTGGGGTGTGTTTTTTTTTGGGGGGGGGGGGGGGGGGCGAACGCCATGCAAGTAAACTTGCCCGAGTCCCAAGAAAAACAGGCTCGGGAGGGGGAAGGAGGAGGGAGGGCTGAGCGCGCCGTGGCGCGCGCTCGGCGCCGCGGGGGAGCCCGCGCAGCCCCCGGCGGCAGCCGGTAGAGCCGGGGCAGCCGCGGCGGCGGCGCGCTGGCCAGACGGGGCGGGGTCAGTGCAGAGAGGGGTCAGCCAGAGCGCCAGGAGGAGGAGGAGGAGGAGGAGGAGGAGGAGGAGGAGGAGGAGGAGGAGGAGGAGGAGGAGGAGGAGGAGGAGGAGGAGGAGGAGGAGGAGGAGGAGGAGGAGGAGGAGGAGGAGGAGGAGGAGGAGGAGGAGGAGGAGGAGGGGAGCGACACCTTTTTTTTACCATCCAGAGAATCGGGGGTAGGAGCCTCGAGACGGGGGTCAATGCAGACGGGGTTCAGCCAGAGCGCCGGATCCTGCAGGATCCTGCTGAGACCCCCTCTGGCTGGCCTGGGTCAGCGAGCCTCACGTGGCCGCGAGGATGCCGCGCCCACCAGCTGGCCCGGGTGTGCGAAGACCTGCGCTGCAGTGTTTTTTATCCCTGCATTGCAGTTGTTTGGTTTCCTGCTGACCCGGGTCTGGATTGACCCGGGTCAGAAGATCTCCGGAAGCTGCCGCCTTGGATTCAGTCGGGCCTGTCCCTCTACAGGGGGGATCTCGAAAAATAGTCGAAACAAAGACAGTCTGGGGACCATTTCTGGAGTATCTTTTGTGACCATTTTGGAACGTTTTGGGGGTCTGTCTTCTTACTCGTCGAGAGTCCCCCCTGTAGGGGGGACGCGCCCGACCGAAACCTTGGAGGCGGCTGCAGGTCCGAGGTTGCCCAGCACCTGGTCTCCTGCCGGCAGGGAGGGCGGGTGAGCTTCGAGGCTCCGGGCTCGCGGCGTTTTTTCTTCCGTCCGTCTCGGGCGTCCGGGGGCCGCGGTCGGGCCCCGGGAGCGTCATGAGCACATCGGGGGCGAGAGACTGCACCGAGTGGGCCCCAGGAGGGGCTCGGGCACCCATCTTTCGGGAGGGGAGCAAGCACACAGACACAATCAATCGTCGATTCCCCAGAAAAGGTGGGAACATAAGGGAAGTGGGGGGAAGACGGAAAGCTAGAAAAGATGGGAAAATATGGGGGAATCTTTTTGTTTGTGTGTATTTGTGTGTGTGTTCCAGGGCCCCGCCAATCTTGAGTGCATCTGTTTTTCATATACGTCACTGCATGACCGATTTTTTTGGGGGGGGGCCCAAGCGGTGCAGTGACCACACCGCGTGGTGAGCCAGCGGGGATTCGCCGCAGGGTTTGGGGTTTCGGGCCGTTCTCCGAGGACGTCTCAGGAAACTGGGGCCTCCAGGGTTCCAGGACGGTGCTGTGACGGGCAGCGCGGTGGGGTCGTGGTTCGAGGTCTCCGCGGGGTCCGTCACCACACGGTTTTGGGATCCCTTTTCCCATGAATCCAGCCCAATGAAATTGCGCGTTGGTCGGAGGATCGCGCCGCATCGCCGATGCGTCGCCGATGCATTGCCGACGTCGCATGCTCAGACCCCATATGACCGGGCCCCATTGATAAGGCCTCCAATGAAGCGTTAATCCGAAGTCGTCGGATGTTTTGCTGCCGTCTTCGGATGCGCCTGTTGTTTCTGCTGTGCTTCGAGCGTTTGTGGACATCGGGAGGCTTGCTCTGTCCGCGTGGACCTTCGGGGACCTCTGAACAACGTCTGCTCCTCCGCCAGTCGCCATGCAGAACAGGTGCGCGCGGGCGCGACGGCCGAGGCTCTTGTGCGCTCTGGGTATGGTTTCGGGGGCCATTGGGGGGCTTCGTGTCCTCGCGCCTGCATTCCCATGGAGGCTCGTACGGAACAGCACTCCCAAGAGAAAGGCGGGGGCTGTTCTTTAATCGCTTCGCTCATTCCGCCAGCCCTCGAGCGCTCGATGGGGCCTCTCTGAGGCCTCTGGGGGGCCTCTTTGGGGCCTCCCAGGGGCCTCTTGGGGGCCTCTTGGGGGTCTCTTGGGGCTCCTTGGCGGCGTCTTGGGGCCCCCTTGGGCCTCTTGGGGGGCTCTTCGGGGCATCTTGGGGCGGGGTAGTCGAGTGCACCCCCCTCGGAGGCCACGATCCTCGTGAGGGGTATCTAAAAGAGGCCCTCAAAACCATCTCTGGGTAAACTTGATCAGGCTGCGGTCGGGATACTTTTCGCCGGGGGACCCCCAGGGGCCGCCCCGCGCGCGCGAACTAGAAATGTTGTTAACCAGTTGCTGGAGATCTTAGTTCGCCTCTGGCCCGTTGGGCCGGCGAATTTCAGGGCGACATGAGCAAGGCGGTCGAGGCCTTTCGTCATGTGCGGCCTCCCGTGTTCGTGGGCCTGGGATCTTCGGGGATCCAGGGCACGCTTTTCTCGGGCAGCCCGGCATGTTCATGCCAACGAGGTAGGGGGGATTCTGATTGGGCCAAGTTCGGCGGCCCTTTCGGCGGCCCTTTCGGCGGCCCTCCTGGCGGCCCGTGCAAGGACCATCTCGGCGGTTTTGCTGTTGACAGCTGTCGACAAATGCTGTTGTGAGCTCGCAGCACACGGCTGTGGCAAAGAGTCGATGTGCGGCGGCGCAGGTTGACGCGCCTTCAGCGCGACGATGATTGTAACATTTGCTGTCGTGTGGTCTTGGCGGTAATGGCTGCGACGGCCGCGGCGATGTCTGTTTCAGAATGGATGTTCGCCAGGGGGTTTGCAGGCGGCCTTACGCGACACACATGTTGACTGTATGTATATGTATGTATATCGATTTTCGAGTGGACGACGGTGATGTTCGGGTTTTTGCTAATGGTGGTATTGCTGTGACTGGTACTGGTGAATCTCAAGTGGCAGACCGCTCAGATTCTCGAGTGACCGATCTTCGCATTACCGATTGCCGATTGATGCGGTGCCGGCATTCGATTTCACGCTACCGAACTTCGTTTCCCCGCCACCCATTTTCGCGTCATATTCGCCACCGAAGTTTTTGTCCCCCAAATTCGCACAAATTCGCAATTGCCCGACGCGATCGGACAATCCGGCACATTGTCGCGACCGAGAATCGACAAGAGCCAACTTCGCCAGCGAAAGCAGACGGCATCGGACGATTTGTGTACGTCCTTTGGATGAAAAGCCGACAACTAGATGCTCCAGATGCTGCACGCGCTCCTGATGCGCCGCGTTCAGCAACAGGCGTCCAGACGTTTGCTACGAGGTGCCCACGTTCAAAATATTGATAGTTGCCGCGCAAATCCTTCGGAGTTCGGCGGCCATTTTTGGGGTCATGGTGGCCCTAAACGAGTGTCCTCGGTGGCACTCATGGCAGCTCGGGAGTAGAACACGGGGAAACGCATGTTTTACGGATGGTTGTGAATTTGTATCCATGCTTTTTTTGACCAGCCCCCGGAAAACAAAAAACATGAGTCTTGGGATGGGCCTCTAGCTTCCTAGACCTGCGACGCAGATATCAAACTCGAGCTGCGTGTCCCAGACATTTCGACTCACTACCGAAACCGATGTTTATCCCCGATCGTTTTATGACGGTGGTGGGTCCCGATAATGCTGTTTCAGGTCGAACATGGCGGACTGTTGTCTCGTTTTGATATGTTCAAGACGTTCGACGTATTGGTAAGAAGTTGGCCTCAGTGGGCCCACCAGACAGACTCGTTTTGAGGATGCCGGGGGCTAAAATTATCAGGAACGCCACAAACCTTGACCCCCCAAGTCGAAACTCAACGACGACAGCGCCCACGCGGCCGCAAGGCCTTCTCTCCCGCTCCTGGAGGCCCCAAGGCGGCAAAACGAGTACGCTTCGTTGCGGGGGGCGGCAGAGAAAAGGGGGCACCGAGGGTTGCTGGAAGGTGACCTCGCAGGTTCACGGAAATTGCACCTCTCTCCTCCTTCCCGTCTGTGGCCCCCGAAGTAGCAACGCCAGGATATTTGACAAGAGTATCGAGCTTCGAACCCTCATGATCGATCGTCTCTGCTCAGGACGCCCCCGGAGGCCTCCCGAAGATTCCAAAGCTCGGGAGGGCCTGGCAGAAGCTCCCAAGGCGCCCTGGCGACGATGACCACGGCGACGACGACGACGACGACGACAACGATGGCCACGGCGGCGAAGACGACGACAACCACAGCGACGATGGCCACGGCGACGAGCCGATCACGACGAAGATGACCACGGCGACGACGACGACGACGACCACGACAGCTACGACGACGACGACGGCGACGGCAACGGCCAAGGCCGCGGCCACGGCCACGACCTCGACGACCACGCGGCCGGGAGGCCTTCCCCTCCCCAGGATGCCGGCGCGGTGCCCACGCCCCCCACCATCGCCCTGGAGGTTCGGGTGGCGCTCCCGATGCAGAACGCCGGGCCGGTCCTCACGCAGGACCCCCGGGGGGGGCGTGGGCAGCCGGGGGTCCAGGCGGGGAGTCGGCTGCTGCCGCTGCGCCACGGAGGAGGGTGGGGCTGATGAGAGGGGGGAGGAGAGGAGGAGGAGGAGGAGCAGCAGGAGTGGAGGTGCAGGAATTACGGAGGAAGGGGGGGAGTGCTTGCATGAGGAGGAGGAGGAGGAGGAGGAGGAGGAGGAGGAGGAGGAGAAGGAGGAGGAGGAGGAGGGCAGGGGTGGGGTGGGGCGGAGGGAGGAAGTGGAAGAGGAGGAGCAGGAGGGACAGGAGGGAGAGAGGAGAGAAGCAGGAGGACGAGATTGATGGGGTGGGATGGAGGGAGGAAGTGGAAGAGATGGAGGAGGATGAGGAGGAGCAAGATGGAGAGAGGAGGGGATGCGGATGAGGAAGAGGTGGAGATGAGGGTGATGATGCTGAGGAGGAGGGGAGGAAAAACGACGAGGACAATCGGTGTCATCATGTTCATGCGATGAGGAGGTGAGGGAGGACTGGGAGGATGAGGCATGGGTGAACGGGGCGACGAGTAGGGAAGGGAAACGGGGATGAGGGATGAGAAGGCGGAATGGGGAAGGATGAGGAGAAGTTGCACGATGATTGATCGTTGTCCCAGTGTTTCTGGAAGGAGGGTCTGGGAGGAGGGGGGGATGAGGATTAATCGGATGAGGAGAAGGAGGATCAGGCTGGAGAGGGAGGGAGATGAGATGGGAGGTAGGAAAAGCGCGCGACGTGACTGGCGCTGAGGATTCGAACTCGTCGGAGCAACTTGAGGTACCAATAGCTCGATTATGATATGTTTCTCGCGTTGCATCGACATGCGATGCCGCACCAGTGCAGTCGCACCTGTTCAGTGATGTGAAGAGGAGGAGGAGGAGGAGGAGGAGGAGGAGGAGGAGCAGGAGCAGGAGCAGGAGCAGGAGCAGGAGCAGGAGCAGGAGCAGGAGCAGGAGCAGGAGCAGGAGCAGGAGAGGGAGCAGGAGAGGGAGAGCAGGAGAGGGAGAGCAGGAGAGGGAGAGCAGGAGAAGGATGCGTGTCGTCGATTTCGATCCGCGCCGAAGCACGACGAGGACTGAGCTCGACGACGAGGACCAAGGACGACATCGACGACCTCAGGGGGGCCCTGCGCCCCGACCAGAAATGACCCAGACGGACCCCGATCGCCTCGAGCCCCTATCGGTCGGCGATGGCCCGCGGATCGGGCGAGGGCCGGCGTCCGAGCACGCCCCCCCCCCTTCTCCAGGGGGCGGCAGGCCGGACAGCTCCCGTGGGCTCCGGAGCCGCGCTGCCCCCGGCGCCTCGGAGCCCGATCGGGAGGGCTCCGGCGCCCGAGCCCGCCTCCCCCCCCCCCCGCGGGGGGCGGCAGGAGCGGGCCCACTAGGGGCCACGTGCGAGCCCTGCCCCTATACATCCCACGAGTTCTGAGGGGGAGGGCGGGGCTTCGCTCCGCTCGGGAGCTCCCCCGAGCGAAGGGAGCCCCGCCCTCCCCCTCTCAGAGGTCGTGGGGGGCAGGGGCAGGGCTCGCAGGTGGCCCCTATAGGTGAAGGATCTGGAGCCCTCGGCGCCTCGGAGCCCTCGGCGCCCTCGATGCCCTCGGAGCCCCCATGGATGCCCTCGGCCCCCCCCCCCCCTGGGAGTGGCGAGCGGGCCTGCCCGTCGAGCTGCAGAGCCTCGATGCAGTGCAGGCGCCGCAAGCAGGGCCAGGCGGAGCTCGGGAGGGGCCTCTGCGGCTGCCCGGGTGCCGCTCCGCGGGCCCGAGGTCGGGGGGCCCTTCTCGGCCGAAGCCGTGCCCTGCCGTGGCCTCGAGAGGCCCTCTTCGCTCCCGGTCCGGCGGTCCTCCGGGCACCACGACCAGCCCCAGACATCCGATGTGTCCAGGGGCGCCGTCCAAGGGCGCGAGGTTGTTCGCGCCTCGCGGTTCGGCTCCCGATCCTGGTCGCCCTCCTTTTCTCCCCTGGGGGGCGGCGCGAGAGCGCGAAGTTGTTCGTGCTTCGCGCAGCGCTGCGCGATGTTAGGCGCGATTTGTCAAGACGGGGTCCCCGGAGGTCCCCACCCGTTCCCCGAGGCCGGTGTTTCATCGCGGGTCATTTCTTGACGGTCTTGGGGCCCAACGAGGGTCTCAAGAGCCTGGGAACGATAGTCTCAAGACCCTCGACGTGAGCGCGACAGCGACTGATACCACGGCCGTGGGTGCCACTGCGACCGCAGCCACATCCGTTCGCCCGGCGGCTGCGGCGACGACCGCGGTGTGGAGCAGTGTCGGTTGAGTGTGCCTGTAGCGTCGCAGGACGGATGCCGTCGAACGTTACCCGGCGCCATCCCAGAGCTCGTGCGGCACCGAGGCCGCCCATGGAGAGCGCTCTGACCACCGGAGCGAGGAGGAGGAGGAGGGAGAGGGGGAGGAGGAGGAGGAGGAGGAGGAGGAGGAGGAGGAGGAGGAGGAGGAGGAGGAGGAGGAGGAGGAGGAGGAGAGGAGGAGAGGAGGAGGGGGAGGGGGAGGAGAGGAGAGACGAGGAGGCGAGAGAGAGAGGAGGAGGAGGAGGGGAGGAGGAGGAGGAGGAGGAGGAGGAGGAGGAAGAGGAGGAGGAGGAGGAGGAGAGGAGAAGAGGAGGAGGAGGAGGGCGAGGAGGAGGAGGAGGAGGAGAAGGAGGAGGAGGAGGGGAGGAGGAGGAGGAGGAGGAGGAGGAGGAGGAGAGTAGGAGGAGGGAGGAGGAGAGGGAGGAGGAGGAGGAGGAGGAGGAGGAGGAGGAGGAGTAGGAGGGGGAGGAGGAGCCTCGAGCGGCGGCCCGCCGGGGGGGGGGGAGCGGCAGGACCTCTTCCGCGACCTCCTCTACCTGGCCCTGCTCCCCGCCACCGGGCAGGCGGCCCCCGCGGGCGGCGGGGCATCGGCCCAGCCCACCTCCTCGGGGTCGGGCGGGCGGGCGCTGCGCAAGGGGGGCGCGATCATTGGGGGGAGGGGGACATGGAGCTCATCCTCCTCTGCCTCCTCAACTATAGGTCCTCATCCTCCGCTGCCTCCTCCCCTTCCTCCTCCTCCTCCTCCTCCTCCTCCTCCTCCTCCTCCTCCTGTTCCTCCTCCTCCTCCTCTTCCTCCTCCTCCTCCTCCTCCTCCTCTTCCTCCTCCTCCTCCTCCTCCTCCTCCTCCTCCTCCTCCTCCTCCTCCTCTGCCTCCTCCCATTCTCCTCCACTCAGGATTTGTGGACCGAATCCGCGCGGCTTGCCGCCCGCTGGGTCCCCCTGCGATGTACGAGCCACCGTGGCGCAGCGGGAGGGCCCGCCGTCACCACAGCCCGTGGTTTGATAGGGGTGCTCCTGAGGAGGCTGCAGAAGATATCGCAGAAGATGGCAGCTACATCTGCGAAGGGCCCATGGGGAGAGGCGGCCGAAGCGAAAGCCAGCATGCTAATTTGCGAGGCCAAGATCCATGCAACCATAACTACAACCGGAGGCAGCCGAGCCGTGGGCGCCAGCAGCAAAGCAGCCAGAGCCAGGACAGCAGGTATCCCGTCTGCCCAGATTGCCCCGCGGTCATCAGCTGGGTCACGCTGGCTCGATGCTGACAGGTCGCTGGCGCCCAAGGCCGTTCACAGTGGCCAAAAGCTCGACCGAAAAGGCAGTAGCGGAAGCGGCGGTGGCCAAGATGCCCCTTTTGGCAAGGGCCAAACCAGCACTGCCCCCCCCAGAGCTGGGAGTCAGGCTCGAGGCGGCAGCCTTGCTGCACATGCAGGCCCAGCAACGGCAGGATAAGTTGGCGAATTTGGTGGGGCAGCAGAAGCAGGCATTGTCCGAAAAGCTTGACGAAGCGATTGGCGACGTGTTGGGGACCAAACAGGAAGTATACCGACTACAGCAAAACAGTACGAACATACAGGATCAGCACCAGGGCAATATGAACCTGAGGACGGACCGCATGCGGACAACGAGGACACGTGGGAAACCCTCCCAAAGTTGTCTGACGAGAACCTCGAGCTCTTAGATGAGCCCAGTATGGCCAAGTACACGCCAGCAGCGGGACTGGTGGCCCAGGCGAAGAAGATATCCGAGGCGTGCAAGAAGCAGGGTGGCTCGGTCAAAGACGTGGCGGCCACGCTGCGAGTGCTGCAGGCTACGGTGCAGAGCCGCATTCGACGACGAGGAGACGAAGAAGGACGAGACGCCCTGCCGGCAGACACGCAGGCCGCCGCAGGCGGCAACGAAGCCGCAGCGGACACCAACCCGAAGGATAATATCTCCAAGGACTGCGACTTCGCCAACCTAGAGGAGCTGGCCATCGACAGGACGGCGGCCATCGAGGCCCGCCAGAAGGCGGCCAGCACGCACCAGACTCCTGCGCCTGGGAACGTCGGCGCTGCTGTTGACGGCGGCACAGCAGCCCCGGCAGGCAGCGGGCCAGTGCCAGGAGTGAACAGGCAGCCGCAGCCATCTCAGCAACATCATCAGAACAGTCGGGTTCGAGGATGACGCCGAGAGTCCGCGGCGATTCAATGGCGGGAACGTTAGAGCACGGCCGAAGCCAGGAGGCGCACCCGCCCCGCGGACCAGCTTGGCGGCACCGCGCCCTCATTTTCAGCGGCCCCTCTGGCGCCAGGGGCCCCCCTGGCCTGCGGGAAGGGCGGGCCCCGCCGGCCAGCCGGCGCCAGGCAGAGGCCGCGCGCCAGGTTTGCGGATCGGCAGCCGAGGCAGAGGTCACGCATCCAAAGGGCGCGTCCTGGGCCATGCTACGAGCGGACCTGCGCTGCCAGCACGCGGCGCCTTGGACCGGGAAAACCACGTCGCCGGCCTCGACAACAAAGCGCAAGGAGTAACAGGCAGTGCGCTCTCCCAACGGACCAGCTGCATGGCATCGCGCCATAATCCCTACGCAGACCCCGCACAAAGCCGAAATGAGCAGAGTGTCCACCACGGGCAGTTGGCAACCACTGGCATGGCGCGAAGCACCCCCGGAATTGCACGGCAGTTTTGGCCGAGCGCCACATGGGGCTTGGCCGAGAACCTCCTCGGGCAGCCCCGGCGCGGCGTCGAGGAGCAGCGCCTCAGAAGATATGGATGGAGATTGCTGCGCACGTGCTCTTCGGCTACGAGCGCAGTCTGGCAGTCGGCAGGCGGCCAGCGCCAGAAGGGCGATTGCGAACAAAAATGGGCACCCTCGGGGGCGCGCGTTTCGCGTCCGCCAGTTGCCACCTCGACCGCAGCGTCGGCCTCGACGGAGCCAGTGTCATGCCTTGGACGTCGGCGCCGACCTCTGCTTGAGAGCGGCTGGGCGACCTGGTCCCAGAGAATGTGTGGGCCCTGGGCTGTGTGGAGGCCTCAGGACAGGCTCCTTCTCGCTCTGGATGCAGTCTCCATTCCTGACCTGGATGGCCATCTGAATGTCCCGCTGCTCCTCCTCGGCTTTGACGTGCTCCTTCTTGGTCGCTAACCTCTCGGCCTTCATGCGAGCCATCTCCACCGAGGTCAGCTTGTGCGTCTGCAACCGTGCTCCACACGTGCGGCGCTTGACCCAGGGGGCGCACTGATTGCCGTGGCTGGCGCGCGCCATCGGAGGATGATCGCAGTTCTCCCCTATGATTCCCAGCGCGCTGTCGCCCGCCAGGCGCGGGGCGAGCGCCGCGAGCAGGCGGGGCTCCGCGCAGGTCTTCAGCACGAAGAGGAGCACCAGCGTCCAGCGCATCCAGCGATGGGCCGTCGACGTCAGGAGATACCTCCCCTCGTCGAGCAGGGTCTTCTCGGTCTCCGCCAGCTCGCCCCCCTCGCAGTTCGCGGACTTGAGACAGCCATCCTCCCACGTGTCGGCGGGGAGGTCCCAGTTCGCCTCGAGCTCCGAGTCCTCCTCCTCCACGGTCTCCAGACTCTCGGCGGCCAGGTGCAACGCCGCCTGGGTAACTTGTTTCGAACCACGGGGCCCCTCGGGCCGCCGCGGACGAGCGACTTCCACTGCGCGCCGGAAGACGCGGGTTCACCGAGACGGCCGCCATTGCTGACTTCGCGCGACATGGCCCCCATGGCACCAGCCTCGCGCGCACCGGTAGCAAGGGGAACGCCTCCGACTTCACAGCGCGCTCAGAGTCGGCCAGACAGGCCTTCCACGAGCTCGGGGCGGCCAGACGAGCACCGTTCGGAGCCGCGCTTTGGACTGAGACTCAATTTTGCGGCGAGGTCAAGGGTAGTGACAGCGGCAGTGCCACTGTTACTTGTGGGGAGGGGCTTCCGAACACGTCATTCTCATCGAGCGGGGGGCGCAGCGGGTCCAGGGGCGCTGCCAGCGATGCGCAGGGCGCGCCCAGGAAGGAATGCAGGAAGACGGGTCGGTAAGACGGACCACCTGCTCAGCCACGCGCGCGCCCATGAGGGCGCTTGCAGGGCGCGCGCGGGAAGCATGGCAACGCGCGCGCCGAGGAGCGGCTCGAATGGATCAGTATATCCACGGCCTTGCACGCAAACTCACGCAATGCCAGACAGCCATAATAGACATCGATTGCAAGTGAGCCATGGCGGCATGGCAGGCGCTGATTGTCACATACGACACGCAGCCTAATATTCAACGCGGGAAGTGGACAACCGAACAGCTACAAGTGGGCGGCGGCCATTCAGCTGATCAGCATGCAGAAGGCCTACCATGGGGGGCCAGACGACCAGAAGTTTACGCGCGGTGAACGCCAGCAGGTCGAGTCACGGAGCTGACCAGGCCCATTCCCCCAGGCCGTGTCGTGGAGAGCCAGGGGGCACTTATCAGTGGCAGCACTATGCATGCCAGCCGTCGGATCGGGAAAGCCCAGCGGCTCGGCGACGACGGTGCCTCCGACGATAACAGAGCATTGAGATCTGCCGAGGCCCGAGCCCAATGTCATGCCGGGCACGAAATGGACAACCAGAACTATTGACGGGCTACGACATTGTTAATTGGGCGCTGAGCGGAGTCACGCGCCGCGCGGGCCTGGCAGGAAACAGGATCAGCAATCTGAGTCTTGACAATGATCAATGGCAGAAGAACGCAGGCGAAGTCACCATAGACCCCAAGTCAGGCCGGGCAGAGGGCGCCTTGCAAGCGAGCGCAAATTTGCGAACCATCTCACGGGGGTGATGTCATCAGAAGGGGCGCCCTCTCCGCCGCGTTGAAGGACGTTTAAGTTGTAGCTTAGACACTCGAGGCAAACTTGGAGCGCGAGGCCTCCAGGCGGGCACCGAGGACGCGGCTACCAACGAGGAGCTGACCGCGGGCAGCGCTTGAGACGGCAACGACGGTAGCACAGGCTCGAAGCAAGCGCCCAATCGGGAAGGGCAACCTAGCACAGAAGTGAGTGTACGCACAGACCCATTCAGCTTCACTTGGAGGTTGAGCGCAACGGACTCCAGCGGCGCGACCGCGAGCAGCATGCCGGACTTCACACATCAGCCCCATCGCGAGCGCCGCGACGGGCTTCAGCAGCGCGACGCTGAGCAGGGTGGCGGGCTCCAGCAGCGCCATCGCGGGCCGCGCGGCGGACTCCTGCAACGCGTCGGTGGGCAGCACGAGGGAGCCCAGCAGCACCGTCGAAAGGTGCGCAGTGGATTCCAGCTGCGCGACCTGTAGCAGCATGACGGCCTCCAGCAGCGCGAGCGCGAGCGGCGCGGCGAATTTCGGCAGTGCGACCGCGGGTGGCACGACGGGGTCCAGCAGCGACGTCGTGAGCGGCACGACGGACTCCACCAGTACGACCGCGAGCAGCATGACGGGCATCAGCAACACCTCCGCGGGCAGCACGACAGAATCCGGCAGCAGGGCGCGAGAAGCATGCAGACGGGCCCCAGCAGTGCCACCGCGGGCATCGCGAGCGGTTCGCTATGATCCAGCCGTGCCATTGTGAGGGGCGCGACGAGGTCCAGCGCCACCGCCGAGAAGTGCTTGGCGGGCCCAGCAACGCCGCCGCATTCACCGCCAAGGGAGCAGGGGCATCGCGGGAGCGCGCGCGCACAGACCTGAGGAAGCCCCCAAGGGGGGGGGGACCTCGGGCTCAGCGTCGCCACCTGGAGCTGGACAAAGACGCGAGGAAGCCCCGAAGGAGGAGGGCGCCTCGGGCACGCAGTCGCCGCGCCCAGGACGCAGACCAACGACGGGGGGCCAATGGGGGGCGCAGCCCGAGTGAGATCCACCTTGCGTGCCCGCGGGGCGTCGAATGACTTGCAGACAGGCAGGGTAGCCAGGCGCCCGTATGTATTCGCTGGACAGCCGTTCGGTTGACCATGTAAATAACCTTGCCGCGAGGCCCCCTTCGGGCGCGAACGAGGCCGCCCCCCGCATCTTCGTGCGCGACGCGACGCGAAGAGGCGCAGGGAGCGAGCGCGACTGGAAGTTTGGCCCATCACCAGACCAAGTGCTCGAGGGCCCAGGGCATCGGCACGGACATGCATGATGCGATGGGGGACTGGGCGATGCGGTGGAACCCCGCCGACAGCAGATGCGCGCTGAAGAGCTGGAGGACAGTTTGCATCGCAGAGCGCTCGCCGCAGCAAGAGCGAACAAGCAGGACGCGCGCATCGGCATAGGAGATGAGCCAACGAGCGTGGTTCATCAGCTCACGGAGCCGCAGAGCAGCCATAGCCCAGGCCGCATCAATAATCACAGCAGCCGCGCGAGACGGAAGCGAAGCAGCAGCTCTTGCAGCCCAAGCAGCACAGCCACAACCAACAGAGCCAGCAGCGCAACTGCAGAGTGGGGCACGCGCCGAGCTGCAGGGCGACCAAGCGAAAAACGAGGCCAGCGGGGGCAGCGAGAGCTCCGCAGATAGCGCGACCTGGCGACAAAGGCGGCGGCGGCACGGTGAGCTGGTCCGCCTGATGGAGAACGGCGCAGCGGCGAGGCACCTGTTGAAGGACTCGCCAGCCCGAGGCCGCGACCAATGACGGGTGCAATTAACGAGCCATAGAGCGCACCACCGTCAACGACGAGGGCCAACGACCGCAGCAGCCGCAGCCGGCAAAACGGCAGCGCACAGCGGCCGAGGGCCAGCAGGGCAGCCAACGCGGGCCGCCCATCCGCTTGCTTCTGCACCACTACACCTCAGGCGATGCTTCAGAAAACTTCAGTTTTCGGCCAGAGCCTCGACTATTCTTACTGTTCCAATGTAAATCTTTGATTTAAATAGAATTGTTTTTCAAGTTCTATAAATTTCGCAACCCATGATTTCTTAAGCATCTCGCAGGGTGTAGGCCTGCTCGGCGGCATCGTTCTTTCACCTCCAGCGGCCTCCCGGCATTGGGGGCCTTGCAGGCCACGGGGGCGGAGGGCGGACGCGGCCCGCTGGGGGGCCTCGGGGAACGGCGAAGCCAGCTGCCTGCCGAGGCGAGAGTGCCACGGCGCGCGCGGGGACGCGGAGTTTCAGGTGAACTCAGTCAGGAGGGGAAAAATCACACAGACACAGTTAATCGTCGATTTCCCAGGAAATATAGAAAAATATGGGGAGTGGGGGGGAAGACAAAAACCTTGAAAGTATGGGAACATGTTGGGATTTTTTTATTTGTGTGTATTTATTTGTGTGTCCTGGGGCCCCTTCATTCAGGCTGGCCGCGAGCCGCGCCGAGCGGCTTGAAGTGCGCTGGGAACTGGGTCGGGGGTCGCGCCGCGCGACCGCCCCGCCCCGAAGCAGCGCCCTTCTCTTCCTCCTCCTCCTCCTCCTCCTCCTGCTCCTGCTCCTGCTCCTCCTCCTCCTCCTCCTCCTCCTCCTCCTCCTCCTCCTCCTCCTCCTCCTCCTCCTCCTCCCCTCGAGTAGACTGGTCTTTCGGGCGTCGTCGGCGCTGCGAGCGGATGGCGCGTCGCCCCGCACCGCGGGGCGGGTGGCCGGGGAAAGCTCGGGGCGTGGACGCCTTGACCTCGGCAGCGTGCTGGCGCCAATGCGTGGTGGGCCAGAGCCGACAAAGCGACACGCCGAGGAACAGTTCCTGACGATATCCGGGCTTGTGGTCTTGGATGTTACAGTCGGGGCGCTGAGGAAGGAACCTTTTTGGTTGGGGAGGGGCTCGGTGTTCCTTGCGTGTTTCACAGCTTGCCTCAGGTCTTCCTGAGGTTTTCCATGGGACATCGATGTTCAACTTATGAGAAAAAGGGGCCTCGTTCCTTATTTAGGGTTCTTTAGGTCAACGCCCCGACTGTGCTGCGTCACCGGGTTGGTTTCCATCGGCTGCGCCCCGTCCCGGGCTAGTCTGGCGCGCCCGGATCTCGACGGCACGTAAGAGTGACCTTTCGCCGGAACGACATTTGGGTGCGGGCGCAGATGGGCCCCCAGATGGCCGAGCGCGAAGCGGTAGCAGCGGCCAGCGCGCTTGTGTTTGGCCCCCCCGCGGCCCCCCAAAAAACCGCGCACCAAAGGTCGCCCTTGCCCAGGGTCGCTCTCACGTGCAGCCGAGGATCGTCCCGGGTGGCCGTGGGAGACCCGAGGTTTGGTGGTCTCCAAACCAGATGGTGAGACACCCGGTGGTGACCCCGATTCCCCCCAAAAATAATTCTGGGTCACCACCGGGTTTGGGGACACGCGGTCGCCACGAGGTTTGGCGTTTCCTGGGCCAGCCAACGCTCGAAAACCATGACCCAAATCGCCCAAAACTCACCACCGGGTGTTCTCACCACCACGTTTGGGGACCACCAAGAGGTGTGAACGGACAGCCCGACGACGAGCGGGCCCGAGAACATCCGACCGGGTGCACATGGGGGGTGAAGAGAAGGGCCACGCGAGGGTCCTTTCGGCCCCATTTGAGCCTGTTTTTTTTGGATCCGGGCAAGTTTACTTGCATGGACGGGGGGGGGGCTGAGTCTGAAGCAGGCCGAAACAAGTCGACGGGCGGAAATCACGCAAGTCGAAGGACACTTGCACGCTCGTGTTCGATTGAAGAGGAGCGAGGGGGGTCGGGGGGGGGGGGGGGGCGAACGCCATGCAAGTAAGCTTGCCTGGATATAAAGAAACACAGGCTCTTTTGGGCCCCTGCCGGCTCCAAAAAGGGGCCTCAAGGCCCGTTTTCAGAGTCTTTGTGCTCATCCCCGGGTATAGAATTCATTAACCCTCAATGTTGCGTCCCGTAGATCATCGAACATTCAGCGTCTCTTTCTCGCAGACAGATCCTGAGGCACATCAATTCTGTACAAGATCTCCTACGCGAGCCCAGAAATACAATAGCATCTAGTTTTTGTCGTGGGCTTCGGCGCCTGAGGGGCCCTCGCAAGACCCCAGGACCATCAAATACCGACCCAGGACGAAGAAATGGTCCCCAGGATGCCGCCCAGAATTCCGAGGACTCCATATTAACAACATCAAAACGTTGGAGTTTTCGGTGGAGGGAGAGGGGCAAAGTTAAAGAGGGGATGTCCGTAGGGGGAGAGGGGGAGAGAAATGGAGGTGGTTGGGAGGCCCTGAACGGCCCACAGGTTCGCGATGAAGCAGACGGGCTTGGAGGGAAACGAGTCATTCAGTCTCCCGTTGTTGTATGTTTGGCCCCGCTTTGGGCCGTTCCATCACGGCTCAGGATGAAGAATTCGTCCCGGGGGAAGCCCCAGAGGAAAATTCTTATACACATCAAGTTCTCGGAGATCCGCACGGTTTTCTGGAACCAGCGAAAACGAGACCCCTCCTTCAAGGGAGGCAAGACGAAAACTGCATACGCATACATTCTCGGAGGGCCGTGCGGGTGTCTTGGATCTGCGCGCCGCCCCTGGCGCGGCCCGCGCACCAGGGAAGGGGGTCCACCGCCGATCCAGGAAATCGGCGCGGCCATTTTGAAAGTTTCTGATTATTCGGCTGTTTGCTCCTCTTAAACGCAGGGTTGGCAGTCCGTGCCACGACTCGAATCGTCCCTACGAGTGCCCAGGGGCCAGGGCAGCGGCGACGACGTCGATGGAAGGAGGCATGATGATGTGGAGGAGGGGGAGGAGATGACAATGAGCCATGATCGAGAGAGAAAGAGAGAGGGAGAGGGAGAGGACGTGGAGGCGGGTTCCCTCCTTCTCGCCATCCTCGTCGTCCTCCTCCTCGCCCTCCTGCTCGTCATCCTCCCCTTTCTCCTCGTCCTCCTCGTCCTCCTCCTCGTCCTTCCCGTCCTCCCCGTCCAGAGCACCCTGCTCCTCCACCTCGCCTCCACCACCGCTTCCTTCTCCGCGTCCTCGCTCTTCCCCTGGCCCGCCCCTTTTGTTCCCCGTGCCCCTGCCAGTCCCCAGCTCACAGCTCAGCCACGCGAAGAGGGGGGGTGGGGGGTGGGGGGAGGGCTTCTTAGAAGCACCCCTGCTTCTTAGAAGGCGCGGGCCTGACCTGCAGATGCACGAATGGCGCCTTCTAAGGAGCGGCCTCCTTCCAAGAGGCCCTCCCCCGTCCCTCCACACCCCCTCTGTGCGCGCCGCCGAACGGCGCCCCTCGCCGCGGCGGGCCCGCCGCACCTTCGAGGGCCACCTCCCCCACCGTCTCCCTCTCCTCGCCCTCGCTCTCCCCCATGGCCCCGCCCCCTTTTGTCCCCCCGGGTGACCCTGCCGGCCCCCGGCTCGCGGCGCCCGCCGCCGCGGCAGGCCAGCCGCACCTTCGAGGGCCACCTCCCCGCGGCCCTCGGCGGCGGCCACGTCTTCGCCACCGTGGGTACGCTGCCCGGAGGCCCGCCGCGCGGGGGCCTCCTGCTTACCTCGGGGGCGGCAACGAGGGGGGTGATGACTAGGGGGAGGTGGGTATCATGGCGTGGGCCATGATGTTTCCCCAGATTTCGTGGCGCCCCTTCTTGTTTCATGACGTCCCTGGCCCCCCCGCTGGGCCGCGCACATGCCGCCGGTCATGATCTGCACCCCCCCCTCTTGGACACCCCCCTCTTGGCCGCTCCCGATGCTTACCAGCCTGGACCATATCCCTATCCCTATGCTGGGCACCTCCTCATCACGATGCCAATCTCAGGGATTCCCTCATTTTTTGAGGGCGAATCCCTAAGGTTGTCATCGCCTTTGGGCGTGTCAATCTTAGGGATAGGGATACATTCCAGGCTGGTAATCCTGCTGCCGTCGGGGGGAGGGGGGCAGTGCGCGATCTCGAAGAGGCGGGCGACCTGCAAGCCAGAAGAGGGAAAAAAACACAGACACGAGTAATCGTCGATGCCCAAGAAAAGAAGGGAGAATATGGGAAGTGGGGGGGAAGACAGAAACCCAGAACATAGGGGAACATATGGGGAATTTGGTTAGTTGTGTGTATTCATTTGTGTGTGTCCCTGGGCCCCTTCATGCAAGCGAGAGGAGGAGAAGGTACCGATAGCATGGTCGGGCCGGACGAGAAGGAGGGATAGGGAAAGTGGGGGCTACGAAATGTGCTGCATGTGGCTGGTTTCGGCCCTACCGATCGGGGCCCATGCCTCGATGCATGGCCGCCTCCAGCGCCGGGAGGCGCCGGGAAAATCAGCTACGTGAGCCGATTCTCAAACCCCCCCTTTGTTATCCACCCCTTTCGCCTGACCCGAGACACTACCAGTGGCGTGCGGTTTTTCAATCACAGGACTTTGTTGAGGGTCGGGGACGACGTCGGGGTGGTGTGGTGTATACTTTTTGTCCCTGTTTTTCCCGGGGGAACAGCGAAGCATGTATGCACCAGGATCCCGTATATACACCAGGATCCGCTTTCCTGTGCGAGAGTCAGTGTGAGGCCAGACAAAGGCGTCGGTGTATAGAGTTCGGCTCCTTACCATTGCCCTCGCCTGGTTGTTCGCCTTCTGGGGCGTCCTGGGTGGTCGTCGTCGCCACCACTGGAGTCGCCTCGACATCCTTGCCAGAGCGCACCCTGGGAGAGGTCCAGGGAGTAGCGGTGTCGGTATCTTGTAGTTGTCCAAGGGATCTTGGCGTCGTAATGTGCCCAGGACCCTTACGCATCGATCCAGTTTGGGAAATGGCGCAGGAAGATGGGGTTTGGGGTTGCGGTCGAGTTTTGTCCAAGATGCAATGGTTTCATGACGTCGGATCGCAGGACTTGGTGTGGCTACGCTGGGGTACCGCTTGCGATCTGCGCCGTTGGGGTCGGGGGGCCCCACGTTGCGCCAATGGCTTAATGAGCCCTCGTTTGGATGGTGCGGAGAACTCGGATGAGGTGCTCGCCCGTTCCCCGAAGCGCGGGTTGAAAGCCCGCCCTCTACAAAATAAATTCCGTTGACTCCTCGGAGTCGCCGACGAATGGATACGGAACGAATGTGTGAGAAGACCCATCGCAGTTCTTACTCACTACACACAGGATTCGCAGTCGGCGTCGCCGCGGGCGCTGCACATTCGAAGTAGACGATCGCCTGCACAACAGCGGCCGCTGTCGGTCTTGGACGAGGTTTGCTGTTGGTCCCTAGACCCAATGTTTCCATAATCGTTCCCGTTGGGCAGTGGCGCCAGAAGCAATATGAGAAATGCGTTTGGTGTGTTGGTTGGTGAGTATATAAATGTGGATGTACGTGAGACCCCTCCGTGCAGCCGTCTTCGTTGGCCAGAAGACTGGAAGGACGTCTCTGGCCTCCCCCTGTGCCCGTTGACAGCATTGGTTCACTGGTGCTAAAGGTGGGAAGGGGCGACCCCCGCTGCCCTTGTGGTGGAAGCTGCGAAAGGGGCGCGAGGCCTACGACAGTCCGTAGGGCCGATGGTGGTCCTGACCAGGGAAGCGGGCGACCCCAGCAGCCCTTGTGGTGGAAGCTGCGAGGGGCGTGAGGCCTACGATCGCCCGCAGGGCCGAGCGTTGTCCTGACCAGGGAAAGGGGGCGGAAGAGCAAGAGGACACGAAATGCAGAGAGCAGGACGAGAGTGAACAGGAGGAGGAGGAGGACGACGAGGAGGAGGAGGAGGAGGAGGAGGAGAAGGATCAGGAGGAGGAGGAGGAGGAGGAGGAGGGGAGGAGGAGGAGGAGGAGGGAGGAGGAGGAGGGGGAGGAGGAGGAGGAGGAGGGAGGAGGCAGGAGTAGGAGCAGGAGGAGGAGGAGGAGGAAGAGGAGGAGGAGGTTGAGGAGGAGGGGGTGGGCAGGAGGAGGAGGAGGAGGAGGAGGAGGAGGAGAAGGATCATGAGGAAAAGGATCCGGAGGAGGAGGAGGAGGAGGAGGCGGAGGAGGAGGAGGAGGGGAGGAGGAGGACGCAGAGGGCGGAAGGAAGGCCTCTGCCAGTCGAAGAAGAAGAAGAGGGCGAGGGACAAGCCAAACAGATTCTCTTGCGGGGTCCCACCGTCGGAGTAAGTCACCAAACTGTGCCCCTGTTTTTGGGTTTGCAGCAACCGCGGCGTGCGGGGAAAAGACAGGACAGGAGCCGGTGCTCGCCTTTGGCCTCACGGGGGCCCTCACCGGGAGCCTCGTGGAGAGCTGGGAGGGGCTCTGCCTTCCAAAGTCAGAGGGTCCAAATCGTTCGGTCCGATCATGAGGCGTTTGGACGCACCCCACCCTGCTCGAGGCCTGCAGGCACTTGGTCGCCCACGGGTGGATTTGCCTCGAAGTTCTGACCGGAAAGCGCCTCGGGACAGTTCAGGGCGTCGTCGCCTTCAAGGATTTGCTTCGGGCTTATTGTCGTAAAAGCTGTATACAATTGAAGTAAACATTGCATAGAAGTCTAATACAAGTTGAGGGTATCCTTGTGTCGTATACATTGTCTAGGAGCCTGTAGTCTCTATGTTCGGCCTGCGGGGGCCTTCACCAGGCCCAAGGCCGTGCCAAACATGCGGGATGGTCAGCCGGTCCTCAGGAATGTGGTCGAGGCCCCCAGGAGACAGCGTTGCGAGGGTTCTCCGTAATTTCAACTTCTAAGAGCTCCGCTCTGGGCCTTCAGAGAACGACTCGGGAAGGGAAGCCAGACCCTTGAAGTGGTCGGGAGGCACGGGGTGGCATAGCCGCCGCATGCCTGAGCATGAGAGAAGGAGTGGGAGAGTTTCTTGGAGGAGCGTCGGGTTATGGTGTTGATAGTTGAGCTCTTTTGGCTGATTTTAAGCCTGCAGCAGGCCTGCGAGGTTTACCATGCTAACCTTTGTCCCCAAAAGGGACCCGAGGACTTTCGGGGGTCTCAGGGAAGGGCTGTGATCGAGGATCGGGGATACATGCTATGTTTGTTCGGATGCCTTTGTGGCATCCTGGGGGGGCATACTGGACGGGCCTTGTTCCGTTGCCTCGCTGGATGCGCCTTGAGATCTCGCAGAGCGCGCCCCATGGGAGAGGTCCAGGGGCCGATAGTAAGGCAGGAGTCTTGCATCCTGCTTCTCTTCCTGTTCCTTCCTCCTCCTCCTCCTCCCCCCTCTCGATCCGAATCTCCTTCTGCTTCCCCTTCTCCTCCTCCCTCTCATCCGCCCTGTCGTGCCTCCTCTCAGCGACGACGGCCCTCGAGGCCCGAAAAGGGCTTCGAAGGCTGAAACTCGAACCTCAAAGCGACGGCGACGACCACCACCACCACCACCACCACCACCACCACCACCACCACCACCACCACCACCCGACCAATCCTGGGGTGCGATCTGGGAGAATCTCGAGTCGGATCCTGCCATGGTCGCGAAGGAGGCCGACGGAAGCCCAAAAAGGCAAGGGAATGCCAAAAGATCTCGGTCGCCGCACTTCGACCTTCGTCGCCAGCGACGACGTCGTCGGCGGCGACGACCACGACCGACGCTGTCCTGTTCCGCCTCGGGAGGTCTCCGCAGGCCCTCCCTCTGAGGGGCCCTCATCGACTGACGGCGGCGGCGGAAGCCCCTGAGATGCAGCGTTTCCAACGATCACAACCTCATGGCAATTCCCGACCCGAGCTCTGGACCCCGATCTCCGTGGCGTTCCTCCAGCCGGACCGATCTGCGAGAGGGTCCCGTGGGGCCAGAAGCCCCAGACAAACAATCGCCCATAAGAAGTCGCGAGTCGCCAGGATCGCAGGGACCGCCGGCGGTGACGACGGCGTGCGGCAGCGGCGGCGGCGCTCTCAGGGGCAACGCCAGGTGGGGATAGACTCAGGGTTATGAAGTTCTAACCTACTTTAGCCTTGATCACCATAAAGAATTTCGAGCACCAGAAAAGTACCGAAACTCGAGGGTTTCACGTATCGGGCCCTGGGAGACACTTGTCCGACATTGTTTCGACACTCTTTCGACACTCTTTAGACACTTTCCTGGGTGCTCGAAACTATTTCTGGGATGTGGTCCTTGAGCACGATTGAAGCAGCATCAACTCAGGGGAGAAAGCATCGACACCCAATCGCCCATCCATGGCCGACGGGGGCGTGACATGGCCCTCCCCGCCCAGGAGCGCGCGGGTTCGCTAGCGCTATCGCGCGGGGGCACGTCGCCGATCCAGCGGCGAGGTATCGTGTCGATTCCAGGTCGACGGTCTCTCCCCGAGCCAGTCCCCCCCAAACATTGTCCTCTTGACAATCAGAGCGTGAATTACCTACCCCGCTTTCGCTTCCAGGCAAAACCAAGCCATACCACGCGCCTCCTCGTCAAGCGGCCTGACCAGTACAGGCTGCAATTTGGCATCGTTTGGTATCTCTTGGAAGCGAGGGTGGTCAAAAGCGAGGTAGGTTTGTTTTCCCCCTAGACAAGGGGCGGATTGGGGGGCGGGAGGGCGGCGGTGGCGAAGGGGAGGGGGGGGACGGGGGGCGGGAGGGAGAGAGGGAGGAGGAGGGGGTGAGGAGGTCCAGGCGTGGAGATGGAGGGGAGGAGCGAGGAGGAGGAGGAGGAGGAGGAACGAGGAGGAGGAACGAGGAGGAAGGAAGGAGGAGGGAACGAGGAGGAGGAGGAGGAGGAGGAGGAGGAACGAAAGGAGAGGAGGAGGAGGAGGAGGAGGAGGAACGAGGAGGAGGAACGGGAGGAGGAGGATGGAGGTGGAGGAGTAGGAGGAGGAGAGGAGGTGGAGGAGGAGGAGGGAGGAGGAACGTGGGAGGAGGAGGAGGAGGAGGGGGAGGAGGAGGAGAGGGAGGCAGCAGGAGTCGACGGAGGAGGAGGAGGAGGAGGAGGAGGAGGAGGAGGAGGAGAAGGACCAGCCGGCGGTGCGCCGGGCGGCCTGGCCGCGGCGCTGCCCACGCCGGCCGACCTCTCCGAGGCCGCCGCGCTGCGCCGGCGGGGGGGGGGCGGGGCGAGGCGGGGATCGGTGCACGCCGGTCGGTTGAGAGTACACCTTAGGCGATGCTCAAGAAAATGTAAGTTTTCGGGCAGAGTCTCGAATATTCTTAATGTTTCAATTTAATTCCTGAGATTTTGATAGAAACTCTTCGTTTTAATTCAAGTCTGCGACTCTGAATTTCTTAACCCATGATTTCTCAAGCATTTCGCAGGGTGTAGGTTGAAGTCGGGCCTGCCCCCCTACAGGGGGACCTTCGACGGAAAATAAAACATACCCCAGGAATAGTCAAGACATAGTCCAAGCATAGTCTGGGGACATGTTTTAAAATATTTGTTTTACCTTCGTGGGACATTCCTGATTTTTTATTTTCGTCGGAAATCCCCCTGGCTTCCCAGATCCCAATCTATTTCAAGCGCCTTCCTTCTTCAAGCCTTACGGGGGGACTTTCGACGAAAAATACAAGGTACCCCAGGAATAGTCAAAGAAATCCAAAAATAGTCTGGGGATTATTTTTGGGGGTATGTTGTTGACCTTCTTGGGGCATTTTGGGGGTATGTTTTTATGTTTCGTCGAAGATCCCCCTGTATGGGGGGCACGCCCGACACGAAAGTAGGTATTTCTGGCTTCCCAGTTCCCAATCTATGTCAAGCGCCTTCCTACTTCAAGAACTGGTACGTTGTTTTTTTATGTGGTTTGTTTTTCTCTGGGAGGTCCTGAACCCAATCTACTTGATCAGCTGTCCTACTTCATGTTTTTACCTACTTCTTCCAACCAGCGTGTATCGTTTAACCGACTCCTACTCTGGGTGGGATATAAATCGAGGGGTGGGCAACTAACCCACCGAAGGAGCTTGCCCAATCCCCCCCCCCTCCCACACCTCCTCCTCCTCCTCCTCCTCCTCCTCCTCCTCCTCCTCCTCATTCTCCTCCTCCAACCCCCCTCCACCCGTTCCGACAGCACGTGCATCGCCCCCAAGCGGATCTAAGGGGGGGGATTATTGCCCCATACAGAAGCAAGGTGGCTGCGATCCATCTCTAAAAGAATCTGGTCAAAAGGCGGAGCCGGCTGTAATTGAATATCTTTAAAGATGGATGCAGCTCGAAAGAATGGAATTCAGTATAAACATCCCCGACAAAACGAACCCTTGTGCAAAGCCACCCACACACATATATATATATATATATATATATATATATATCAGTTGAAACCCGCACAACGGGAATACATTCGTGAATCGCCAACATAATGAATCCTAGTGGACGGTCGCAAAAAGACATGTCTAGGTGGGATCCACACCAAAGAAATCAGTAAGTAAATCGCGCCATATCTGGTGATATCCGATCATGGAAGGAGCCATTTGCAGTTCAGTCCTCAACCCGATCCGACATGATGGATGGAACCACCTCTGAAATGATCCCTCTGGAGATGGACCCATCGCTAAGGGAATCATATCAGAGATGGTTTGTCTTGCTCGCCTCTAACACAATGCTACTAGACTTGGAACCACCTCCACTGGAGTCCTGTTAGCGCCCTCTGCGGCCGATGGCAAAACGGCCCAGACTTCACTTCCACCTCGTCCGTCTTCGTCCACTTCACATTCCTCTCTCATTGTCCTTATCGCTTCCTCCCCCTCCCTATCCCTCATCTGCCTCCGCTTAGTGGGCCCTGGAAACGACAGGGCCGTTTTTGTTACCGGTTCCATTTTGCCCTTTTTATGCGGTTCCGTCGCCGTTTTTTACCAGTTCCGTCGCCGTTGTTTGACCGGGTCCAGCTCCGGTTCCAACCCTGGAGCCGTTTTTGTTGCCGTTTCCGGCCGCCGTTTTTTTTGTTGCCGTTCCCATGTTCAAGGGGCACATTTTTCTGGAAAATTGTGAAAGAACGGCCCTGCCGTGTCCGGGGCCCACAGAGCGCCTCCCTCCCTCCCGCATCTGCGCGCTGCGGCCACGGCCTGGGGCCCGAGGCGGGGAGTCGAGGTTCATAGCCGCTGCCAGTGGTACGCATCGACCTTCTATCCGAGTCGGACGACGAGGGTCAGCGATTGGGGGGGATGGCCACGCGGGGGCGACGCCTCGACCACCCAATCCCCCCCCCCCCTCCCACACCTCCTCCTCCTCCTCCTCCTCCTCCTCCTCCTCCTCCTCCTCCTCCTCATCCATCCTCCTCCTCCAACCCTCCTCCACCCGTTCCGACAGCACGTGCATCGCCCCCAAGCGGATCTAAGGGGGGGGGGATTATTGCCCCATACAGAGTCAAGGTGGCCATGCGGGGGCGACGCCTCGACCACCCTTCGCCCACCGATCGCTGATCGGGTCCCGATATAGCCCCACCCAGGGGCGTGCGGGTTCGCTCTCGGGGGGCCATTCCCAACATATATCGGCGCGGTATCGCCGACTCCAGGTTGATGATCAGCCCCTCCTGTGCCGGTCCCCCCCCATCGTTGCCCCTCAGGGGCGGGGGAACCGTCGCAGAAGAAACAACAACATTCAGGAGGGAAGAAAACACACACAGACACAATTAATCGTCGACTCCCCAGAGAATATGGGAAACTATGGGAAGTGGGGGGGAAGACAGACACCCAGAAGCTATGGGAAAATAGGGGGAATCTGCTTCTTTGTGTGTATCTATTTGTGTGTCCCAGGGCCCCTTCAAACATACACAAATCTTCGGAGCCCCGCGCGGAGCTCCTCTGATCGGCGCCAGGGGCTTCCCTCCCAGGCGCGCGGAGCTCCGACATGGGGTGGCCACGCCATATGCCGTGCGCCGGGTTTCGGCTCCGCCGCGGGGGTTCAAGGCATTGGCGCCTCCAGCGCCAGGAGGCGCAAGGAAAATCAGCTGTGTGAGCTGACTCGCTAGCCTCCCCTGTCCTGACCCTCGGTTTCGTCCGCGGGTGATGCGGACATGTTCCGGCCTTAGGGGGGCAAATACATTCATATCCACCGCCTGCCGAGGCCCGGGTCGTCGGTCGCCCAGGCGGTATGAGTACCCCGCCTTCGCAACAGGAGAGCGTAGGCAAGGATAGCGGAGACCGAGGGCAGAGGACGAGGGTGCCTCACATTTTTGCGTTGTGGAAAAATCACAGCGACGGAAGGTTTTCCGTTGTGCCCGGAGTGGTCCGGGGACCAGTTTGAGATGATTCCGTTCGGGGAAAGGAAAAGGAAGGAGGAGCGGGCAAGGAAAAGTGTTGACCACATGCGGTTGGGCCCCCTCTCCATGGACTAGCAGGTTACCGAATCATACGCAACGCTCGTTCGGCTCTCCAGAAAACGCAAGCATCCTCACGCCTAAACGTCTGGGCCAACGCAACAGCAGCGCGGGGGCTGGTGGGAGACACAAAGAGCCTGAGTCACCGACCACTCATCCAGCCGCGGCACCTTGGTGCGGGCAGTACTTCTATCCATATCCAGAGCGTCGTGGACTTTTTTACCTAACAGCGAAGACTGATAGGTTTCTAGTGGTCTAAAAAGAGCTCACAGATCACTCCACAGGGGGGTCCGGGCAGGTGTTGGGAGTTGCCGGGCGGCAGGGTGCCCCGCTCGTTTTTCACCAACAGTCACACACTTCGTGCTCTTCGATTTCCCAGAACTCCATTCCCAGGCCACATTCTGGAGGGCCGGATGCAACAGTCACACACTTCGTGCTCTTCGAGTTCCCAGAATTCCATTCCCGGGCCACATTTTGGATGCCCGGAGCCAACTGTAGGCCACTTCCTGGTCTTCGAGTTCCCAGAACTCCATTCCGGGCCACATTTTGAATGCCCGGAGCCAACTGTAGGCCACTTCGTGCTCTTCGAGTTCCCTGAACTCCATTCCCGGGCCACATTTTGAATGCCCGGAGCCAACTCTAGGCCACTTCGTGCTCTTCGAGTTCCCAGAACTCCACTCCCGGGCCGCATTTGATTGCTGAGGCAGCAACGTAGGCTAACTTTGTGCTCTCGACGTTCCAGAACTCACATTTCCTGGGGCACATGTTCAGCCTAGGGGCAAGAGCACGACGAGGAGGAGGACGAAGCAAGCCTGGAGGACGAGGACGTGCAGGAGCAGGACGAGGAGCAGGAGGAGCAGGATGAGAAGGACGAGGCTAGGAGGAGGAGGAGGTTACGAGCCAGGTTGGAGAGGTCGACCAGGAGGAGGGACGACCAGGAAGAGTGGAGGAGGAGGAATGGGAGGAGGAGGGTGAGGGGGGGAGGAGGAGGAGGAGGAGGAGGAGGAGGAGGAGGAGGAGGAGGAGGAGGAGGAGGAGGAGGAGGAGGAGGAAGAGGAGGAGGAGGACGAGGAGGAGGAGGAGGAGGACGAGGAGGAGGAGGGGGGGGGAGAGCACCAGGAGGAGGAGAACGAGGACCACCAGGAGGAGGAGGAGGAGGAGGAGGAGGAGGAGGAGGAGGAGGAGGAGGAGGAGGAGGAGGAGAGAACACCAGGAGGAGGAGGACGAGCAAGACGAGGAGGACGAGAACGAGGACGACCAGGAAGAGGAGGAGGAGGAGGAGGAGGGGAGGGGGAGGACTACCAGGAGGAGGGCCAACTGTAGGCCACTTCGTGCTCTTCGAGTTCCCAGAACTCCATTCCCGGGCCACATTTTGAATGCCCGTAGCCAACTGTAGGCAACTTCGTGCTCTTCGACTTCCCAGAACTCCCATTCCTGGGCCACATTTTCAGCAGGGGCAAGAGCACGACGAGGAGGAGGAGGAGGAGGAGGAGAGAGCACCAGGAGGAGGAGGACGAGCAAGACGAGGAGGACGAGAACGAGGACGAGCAGGAGGAAGAGGAGGAGGAGGAGGAGGAGGAAGAGGAGCAGGAGAAAGAGGAGGAGGAGGAGGAGGCAGGGTGAGGCTGTGACTGCGACTGCCGTTGCCGCTGCGACTGTCATCGCGAATGCGACTACGACTGCGAGAACAGCAGAATTCGACAACTGGATTTTCATCTGAATCTTAAGGGGAATGCTTTCAGATATGCTTCTACACATCGCTGTTAGGTTGCTTTGCC